CTGACTGTAGAGCCTCCTGTTCAAAAGACACCCCCATGGCTGCACCAAAGGACACTGTAGACGATCTAATGTCTTAAATATTACGAATCCTCTGGACGAAGACATTGCTCCCCGCCGCAGAGCGTCTTCGCCGTCGTGCGTCTGGCAGCGGCACTCGGCGAGACGAGCCCTTTTCTGCGCGCTGATTGGTCGCTCGGGATGGCACCTGATTGGTCTAAACGAACGGGAAAAGAAGCTTGTTTGGAGGGCGAGAGAGACAGTTCGCCCATTTACACGCTTATATGATGCTCTTTAAGAAACACGAATGCTAAAAAAAAAAACAGAAAAACAGTATAACTGGCATACTAGAAGGAAAGACTCCCTCTCCGCCAGCTAATTGGTCATTTGGAAAGACACTTGATTGGTTAAAATACACAAAGGAGGAATCTGATTGGTCAGTGAGGGAGAGGAGGCGACGTGATTGGTCAGCTTCTGTCTGGTGCCACGTGACGTCAGCAGATGCAGTTTGCGTATTTTTCTTTCTTTTTTTTACTATTATTATTGCTTTTATTTTTCGATTCTGTTCTCACAAAAATGTGCTTGCGTCATGGATAAGGCCTTGCAGGTGCTTGATCCAACTTTCCATCTCAAACTATATTCAATGTTTTACTGTGTTTAAGATATAATAACCTTACTCTGTCCCTTTGAGGCATTATGTGAAATAGTATGAAACTTTTAAATACATTAATGCATCCTTTTGCAGTGTCAGTATATGAGTAAATCGATATGAGTCTTATATAGTGTCATTTCTTACCAAATAATTACGAAACTGCTAACTCTTCTCGCCTTAGAAGATTACGCAATACTTGGGGTACATTATTTTAGTACGTTTTTTCCGTGTGTAATAGTATAATTTTGTATTTATGACTTGATGATGATCTTATATCATTGTTTTGTTCTTTGATAAATGGGTTTATATGACAACTGATAAGAAAAACTACGGTAAAAAGTGTGTGATTCATAAATTCGTCTGCTATGTTCATTGTAAATATTCACCGGTATAAAGTCACTTCATTCACACCTCCATTCATGTTTATTTAAAAAGTAATAGTGCTAAGCTAATCACATTTTGATAATGTTGTGGATGTAATCTTGTAAAGTATTTGATTAACGGGGGGAAAAAAGTGTAATTGATAATAAGAATTTACTTTGTAAAGAACTCCTATAATAGATAAATTAACACACCAAGTAACTAACACATAGATAACTTTAAGTATAATGTAATGAGCAAAATTAGGTAAGAATTATCAGAATTAACACATCAATATCCCGAATCCCACTGAATTGTAACCCTACGTCCCCCAGAGCAACACATTTCAATTTCTTGCAGACGAATTTGCTTTTGTTCTTAAGAATTCCATATTCCCGGTATGTAAATATTTTGTTTCCATTTTTAGATGATGTTTTGAATCGTTTTTGTTATCGTTTGTGCTAAGTATGGGTTGGAAAGATGTATAATGGTAATTTGTGTTATATTTCGTGGCTAGTTAACCGGCAGCCGGTTAGCAGTATCACAATTATTACTTGAGAAGGGATATAATGTGTGCTTAATCATGTGTGCTGATTAAGTTGAAATTATCACATATAGCTATGATGGTAATTGTCAAAAATAGGCCTGCCGGACAATATGGAAAAAAGGATAATAGATTTTTAAAGAATAAAGGTAATCTCTCGGTTTCGTATAGCCATCCAACCTTCCAATGATAGTTTCAGGAAATAAATGAAAGCATTGGTAATGTCTACAAAGTGCTGCACCTTTCTTGAGACTAAAGTCCCAATTACTCGGCCAACAACCTGAGGGACACTCCTGGGAATCCACTGACATCGCCTTATAAACCACTGTTAATTTAGTCTCTGGGCAGCATTTGTCAAGACCTATTTCCTCCATATCTGTTGTTATTCTTTTCCTGCGTAGATTATTTCATGTATCAGTGAGTGTTTTTTTTTTTTCCTCTCTCTATGACACTATGGTCATCATGTAAATGTATAGTCTACTAAACTTTCTTATTATGAACTTGCGAAGGAAATGCCTTAGATGAAAATGCTTTAAATCTTGTCATTCTGCCCATTACAGGCAAGTTTTCCTTATGCTATATGGCCATTTAAACCTGTAATTATACTGGAATCAAAAGGACACCCACCTTTATAAACTGATATGCTCATGATAATGGCCCAATTCGATATCAAAATGGGTACCTACAACAACTCATGTCACTGTCTCTTCTCCCAAGGATAGCCAAGCAAACCTTCACTACATATATTATGACAAGATTAAGTTTGTAAAAATTCTTAGCAAATTATCATTGGTAATTATCAGGAATTGATCTGCAGGAACTTGAAGGAAAAGGTAAAGTTAGGTGTAAGATAAGATATATGCAAGGTAAATGAACAACCATAAATGCATATCACTTACCACACAGCAAAGTCAAGCAATGGCAAAAGCAAACAAACCTATGTCAGG